GTAGGCACATAAGGCATCACTCCTAGATCCTTAGTCCTATTCTAGCATGCGGTTCTACGAAAGCTGATAAACATAACATAAATTGTATGGGTACTATGGGGTACTTACTTGAGCTCGGCCGGTCGCGCACATCACACACTTCGCTCTTTTCTTAAGACTCTTTTCTAAATTTTAGAGAACATTTCTTTTTGAAAATCTTTCAATCCCTCGATTTGAGTTCAGACACTCCCGAAGATGTCCGACCCTCAAACCAGGGCTCTGATACCAACTTGTAACGACCCGATTTTCACATAATTTTTTTTTTGTTTAAAAACTTACTTTAGAATATTAATAACTAAAACATCATTCGAACATCCTATAATAATGAACCATGTCTAAAAAACCAAAACATACAACTATCAGAATATCAGAGTATCAATCCCAGAAAAGCTCGTAAATGCGGAAATCCGAGAGTGCGTGTGTGACATGCTGTTACTGCACCGACTCTTTCCCCTAGCTGAGGAGGTACCTGAAACCAAAACTGAAACCGTAAGCACAAAGCTTAGTGAGTTCCCCCATAATACCCATACCTTGCAAGCATATAACAAACAACGTTCAATTAGGAGATACAGGCCACGCCCATACTCGTGAAGATACGGGCCCCGCCCACACATCGCTTTCTGGGAGATACGGGCCTCGCCCACACTCGTGAAGATACGGGCCCTGCCCACACTTCGCTTTTTGGGAGATACGGGCCACGCCCACACTCGTGAAGATACGGGCCCTGCCCACACTTCACTATCTGGGAGATACGGGCCTAGCCCACACTCCACTCTCGGAGAGATACGGGCCTTGCCCACACTCAACCGCCAACTCATATCATACAAGTATCACACAGACAACAAGTATAGACAACTATATCATACTAGCATATATCATAATCAACTCAACTAAGAGATACGGGCTCGGCCCACACTCTAATACTAATGTCTCGTCTATACGGGCCGACCTTGGTGCCTTAGACCCGTTACTACTGGAAGGAAACTCACCTACTACTGCTGCTGCTGCTCCGGAAACTCCCCGGCTGTAATTCCCACAATATACTTAATCATACACTGCTAATTGTCCTTTGGGTAAAAGACCATTTTACCCCGGTCTAGCCCTAAGTCAAATCGGAGTCAACTTTTAGTTGACCCGACTCACCAAGTGGATCTCCACTCGCCGAGTCCCTGTCCAGACAATTGTCCTGGGTCCCTGATTCTACTCGTCGAGTTAGGCTATGACTCGACGAGTTCATCTTCTAAACTTACATTCAACTTCTTCATCCTACTCGCCGAGTTGTATGAACAACTCGTCGAGTTCATCTTCATCCGAAGAACACTAATGCTAAGACTCGCCGAGTTGTATGAACAACTCGTCGAGTCTGTTCTTGATCTATGAAGATTGCCTTGGACTCGCCGAGTCAGGGCATTGACTCACCGAGTCCCAACATGGGTAAGTTCAGCTCCCAACTCACCGAGTCACCCCCTGTGACTCATGGCTCAACTCGATACATCATAAAGGGACCATTTCGGTGACTCGCGACCAGACTTGCCGAGTCACCTATACGACTCGCCGAGTCGCCGCCATGCATCCACCAAATACACCGATTTGCTCGATTTTAGTCGATGCCATTCATAGATCTGGACTTCTAGGACACAAATCACACGTAAAGTTTCCGACTTTACGTGTGGATATTCACCAATATGGATTTTAGGGCTCAAAATGCCTTAAAAGGGTAGATCTAGGGCTAACAAGCAACATGGGGCCATAAAGCTAATAGATCTGAGCTCCTGGAGCTCAATCTTGCCTAGATCCAGAGGCCAAACATCTTATTACGACATATAATGCACATACAAGCTTGGGGATTTGACCAAGAAAGACCCAAATGAAGTTTTAAGCATGGAATCATGGGGAAAACGGGTTATACCTTAAAGGAACTGCTGGAAGAACACAATAGTTGCTTGGTTGGCTTTCCTTCTTCTGGATCTACTTCTTTCCTCCTTCAAAACCTTCAAAAACACCCACAAAAGTCTCAAACTCTCAAGGAACGGCTTAGGACGAGGTATACAGGGATCTAAGGGTGAATGGGGGCTGGCTTGGGGCAGTTAAGTCGTTTAAATAGGGTGCAAACCCCTGAAACTTAGGGTTTCATCCAACAGCGACGACTCGCCGAGTCCAGGATATGGACTCGCTGAGTCTCCAACTTAAAACGTGACCTGGGTCGCGTCTCTACTCGGCGAGTCGGACCTATGACTCGCCGAGTCGGACCAATGACTCGCCGAGTCCAAGGCTAAAATAGGAAATGTTCGAATAAGATTTACATACCAGAAACCAGGTGCTACATGTTGGGGATAAATTATTAAATTATAAATAATATAAGCTCAAAAGCAATAGGAAGAAGTTAACAATGAAAAAAATTGTGTTTTTTCTAATCAAAATGAAGTCAATTTTGATGGTTCTACACCTAGTATTATATACATGACAACTACATATTGACTTTTTTCATATATATATATATATATATATATAATATATATATATATATATATATATATATATATATATATATATATATATATATATATATATATATATAATTACGGTTTATTAGATATTACAAACTAACGTAAAATTCATACATTTTAAGGTTGACTTTTCCATTTATCTATTTTTCGAAAGCACCCACTCATTCGATCTATAAGTAGTTCTTTTTTAACGCTACAAATCAAAACATTGTTCAAAACATCATCACCCATTTTATTACTACAATCTGCATACTATATCGTCAATGCGAAAATACATTTTTCAACGGCCGCGGTTGCAACGGACAACACCAAAGTCAAATTTAAAGATTTAAAACTCATTTAAAGATTTAAAAATCATCACATGTTTCCAATGGAACCCTATAAGCACAATTAAAAATTTAAATCTAATTTCACCAACGACATAAAAAACAAACAACAAAAAGTTATCACTTTTAAATAGATAAGATAGTTCCAATAAGGTGAATAAATGATTAAGCTACACTATGTACAAGTTTACACACCCACATATGTGTATATGCATGGTTCTAAAAAGCGCGACGCGTGGTGTAGCCTTTACGAAAACATTCAAGACGGGTTTGTGAAGTGTGACGTCCAAATAACGTGTCAAGGCACACCTTATTGTGTTATCACACGGGTTTTTTTCAATGCGCGTGTTTTTTTTTGTTTTTTTATCGGGCCTAAAATAAATAAGTTTTTGTTAATTTTTTTCTATTAGATATTAATATAACACTTTTAAAAACTTCATATATTTGATAAAATTCAATAAATATATGATTTATATATTTTAATGTATATAATATAATCACTCCTTGAAAAAACTCACCAAGGCTAGACATGACTTAACTTTTACCATGTTACCAAGCCACGCTTTACGTTATTTAGAATATTGTGTATATGTTCTTAATATAACATGACAAAAAATTTTGATAAGTTGACCTTAAATTGTATGTTTATATTTTAGGCAATAGTGAGTGCTTGGAACGAAGCATGTAGAAGAGAAGCACCAAGCTCAGTGTTGATTCCACCAGGGACCTACATGGTATTTCCTCCTATTGATCTCATTGGCCCATGCAAGGGTCCAATTAAGATCAAAGCCACCGAAGCCATCATCAAGGCCCCACCCGAGCTTGAAAAGTTCACAACCACATACTGGATCGCCATAAGGAATGTTAGTAAGTTGACTATGATCGGTGGTACTTACGATGGCCAAGGAGAACAAACTTGGTTGCAAAATTTATGCCCGGATGGGGGGCCAGGACCTTGCCCACTTCCAGTCGTAAGTGTTTTCTTTTCTAATTAAAAACTAGGTTCATTATTTCAATATTATCATATGCCATCTTTAACCATATTCTCCTTTCCCTTTCTCAGAATCTTCAATTCACTAATGTCACAAATTCATTGTTGCAACACATAACATCTACCGATAGCAAATTCTTTCACATGAGGTTATCTTTATGTGACAATACAAGACTTGATCATATCACCATTTTATCACCGGTAAACAGTGTCAACACAGATGGAATTCAAATCGGGCGTTTAAGCGGTGTCAACATCACAAACTCAGTAATGAGAACGAATGACGATTGCATTTCAATAGGTCAAGGATGCAGGAACATCCGTATCAAGAATATTATGTGCGGACCAGGAGATGGCATAGGTATTGGTAGTTTGGGAAGACGCGCAAATGAAGAACCTGTACAAGGAATCTGGATCAAGAATGTCACCATGACAGGCACAGAAAACGGACTCAGGATAAAGACTTGGCCTACATCTTTCCCAGGAAGTGTTAGTGACTTGCATTATGAAGATATCATCATGCACAATGTGTCATTTCCCATATTCTTCGATCAACAATTTTGCCCTTTGAATAACTGCCAGGTATCATACATAAATTAGACAATTTAGTGTTTGAACTTAAGTGAATGAGTACAACTTAGAAAATTTAATATAGTTTCTGTTTACGACTACTAGAATGGAACTGCATCAAACGTGAGCATATCGAATGTGAGCTTTAGGAATATCAGGGGAACATCAGCAACTAAGGTGGCATTGAAGTTTGATTGCAGCGCAGATGTACCATGCAAGAACATAAAGGTGGCTGATATTAATTTGACGTACGAAGGACCTGAAGGAGGACCTGCCACCTCGGAGTGTGCTAACATTAAACCCAAAGTCGTCGGCCATGTTGTTCCTCCAGCTTGTCCAGGTGGGCCAGATTAAAAATAATATGATCTACTCCATCGACCGGAAAAGCACATGCTGCACATGGGTGCGTAATGGTGGAATTCTATGAGGAAATAAGTAAATGAAATTTTTTACACAATTCCGGAGACATTTCTACATAAATGTACATTGTATGTGCTGGAGTATTTCGTATTCTATATTTCTTCTGTTGACTATTCATTGGTTATTAAATGACTGTTAAATGGGTTTGTTAATTCTTCAAAACTTCATTCATAAAAGTTACTTTTATTTATAGAGGATTTTATTTAATGTTTCTTGTTTTATCGTATATGTTTAGGGTGTGGAAAGAAAAAACGAAAACGAAATAAAGGTCCGAACCAAATAAGATTTGGTTCATTTGATTGAACTTAATTGGTTTCTGGCTTGGTTTGGTAGTGGGTATTTGGGTTTAAGGTACCGATTAAATCAAATCTTATTCAGTTCAGCTTTCTTCGAATATAAATTTTTCATAATTTCTATTTCAGTTTTGTTATTATATTGCTAATTGTGATTTCGTTAACGTTCTTAATTATGTCATTTGAGTAACGTTCTTAGTTATACTATTCATTGTTTACGTTTTATTTCAACTTTTGCTAATGCTAATTATTGCTATTTAATAAATGTTTTGGAGTTCTTGCTTTTCTTTGATTAACAATAAAACGTTTTTAATAGTGAACAATTACTTACAATTTGTTGTAGGAAAAAGACCAATCGAAGTGACAGTTGAGAAACTTCAATTCTTGAAAAGAGTTCAAGTATCTCCAAATATTGTTGAATAATATAGGAGTACTCCAAACATCAAGGGCTCAACTCAATAAGAGATTAAAGAGCCACCTAAGCTAGATATGAAGTTTTAGTTCCTAAATTCATCAAAAAAATCTGAGTATTTCATATCCAATTAATAGCAAATATGTACATTACTTATTGTAAACGTCCGTATTAATAGTTTAAAGTGATATAGTCTAAAGGTCAAACAGTCATAGTATAGAATCAGAAGAGTATATTTCGTCCCCAACAACTCTTCTACTTGTATTTACACGATTGATCATTGTTAAATGAAACACATATCAAATTATCTTTATTATATGGTATTAGAACAAATGTTCGATTCACACAAAAATCTATCTGTTTTCGTTTTTTATGATGGCTTTAGGAGCTACCAATCTCCTCAATTTGGTTATCATCATAGCCAAATTACCATTAAATTGGATCAAAAAAACTATTTTTTATGGCACACAACAACTGTATCGTTGCTATAAACGTTTGATTTGGAGGAATTTGTCTTAAACCCTAAACCACCATTGGAGATGATTGACGTTCTCGTCGTTGCAGTGATATCGGCCATTGCCACCGCTCCTGCTGTTGTCATGGTTCATGCCACGACGGCTCCAAATCCGGAATACACCACTTGGAAGGAACGTGATAAATTTGTTTTGCTTTGGTTCAAGTCTACATTTACTGATCATGCGTTAGCTCTAGCCGTCCGCTCCACTTCATCTCGTGCCGCCTGGCAGACAATTGAAAAATTGTTTCAAGCTCAAACTAGGGCATGTTGAATGCAATTGAAGGATCAATGCAAACTCTTGCGAAAGGTTCTACCATGCTTGAGTATATAGAGCGAAAACGCTCTATCTCTGATGCATTAGCCGAAAATCTTCATCCTATTCCTGATGAAGATCTTATAAGCTATATTCTCAGTGGTCTAGATTCATATTATGGAGGTTTAATTATTGCCTTTATGATGAAATCGGAGGCTCTAACCGTTGATCTTGTAGGATATATGTTACTGGAAGAAGCAAGACTTAAGCAAGAACACATGTGTCTTGCTTCAATCAATCCCGCCCCCACTGTTGCTTCCCTAAATGTCAGTTGATCCACCTACAAACATTAAACTCATGTTGTATAGGGCTCAAATTCTTCATATTCTCCTCGCAATACAAACCCTCTAAATAAGTGTACCATGTTTCAATTGTGTGGTAAAACTAGACATGAAGCAATTGATTGATGGTAGAGAGGCAATCTAACAGACTCCCCCCCCCCCCCCCCCCCCCCCCCCTAAAACCAAATACTAGAGGCAATACTCGTTAAGCTCACTTGACTAAACAAAGTCAATCTATCATGCTTGATCCGGCTTGGTACATTGACAGTTGAGCGACTGACCATGTCACACCAAACCTCAACAAACTCAATATTGTTGATACCTACATTGAAGATGACAAACTCCAAGTAAGAAATGGTAATAACTTGACTATCTCTCATATTAAATATTCATCTTTGCCTTATCTTAAATTACCTAACGTTGTTCATATTCCTGATCTCACTAAGTCTCTTCTTAGTTTATCAAAAGTCATTGATGATAACCCTGTTTTTATTTTTTTTTTTAAATATTTTTTAATTTTTAAATTTGGCCTAAAAGTTATTATATTAAGACGTTTCAGGGTCGAACTTTAATCGAAGGGGTAAAAAGTAGGGGCTCTATCGGTCGCATCATTAAAATTTTCGTTTATCTAAAAAAGATTTAAATTCCAGTCGAATTTTTTTACATGGATGGCATATGCGGCATGCTCACCCGCATGCACCAATTCTTAGGCGTTTAGTTTCAAGTTTTCAACTTCCTGTTTCCAACAATAAATTTCCTAATATTTGTGACTCATGTCAATTAGGAAAAATTCATAGGATGCATCTTCCAACTTCCCATGTTATTTCTTAAAAACCATTTTAATTGATTTATTTGGATGTTTGGGGGCCTCCTCCTATTTTCTCATTAAATGATGATATATACTTTGTGTTGTTTATGGATGATTGCTCAAAATTTATATGGCTTTATCTTCTATCTCGTAAGTCACAAGTTTATCAAACTTTTCTTGATTTTAGCACAATGGTCAAAGACTTTTCTTGTGACATAAAACATATGCAGATCGATTTGGGGGGGGGGGGGGGGGGAGGGGGAGGTATCAAAATGTTTTCTTCATTCCTTAAAACACATGTCATCATTTGTCGTGTATCCTGTCCACATACACAAGAACAAAATGGGGAAATCGAAAGACGAAATCGGGTTTTTGTTGAAAAGGGTCACACTTTACTAACACAACCTTCATTACCAAAACTTTTTTAGGAGCATGCATTAAAAACTGTAGCATACTCGAATAATGGAACTATTACCCTTATTGTACAACAAAATTCTAGATTATTCACTTCAAAAGACTTTTGATTGTCTTTGTTACCCTTATGTTCGACCCAACAACCCTCACAAAATCGATTCCGATCGAAACTATGTATTTTTATGGGTTATAATGCATCTCACAAAGGGTACATTTACTATCACCAACCTAGCTCACACACACACACACACACACACACACACACACACACACACATATATATATATATATATATATATATATATATATCACGCCATGTTGTTTCGATGAATAATAATTTCCATATGTTAGTACAAATTCACCAAATCTCACACCCACATCGCCCCATACTGATTTATCTCCGACAATTCTTGCCACTGTTAATCCACCTAAAATTTTGGTGTTTGAAGGCCCAATATTTGGTCAAACTCCTCCAATAACCATGGATCAGAAAACTCCACCAAACAACCCACTATCAAATGATCCCATACCGTCTACCCTAACACCCGAGGCATCTCAATCGTTGGCTCCAACTTATCAAAATTTCAATGTCTAATCATGAGCACGAGTAACAACATCTATTTTTCGACCTGTTGAAAATACTCAGCTTACCATGATAAATAAGGCTCGAACGAATTCTCTAAAACCAAAACGACTCCTTTCTGATACTTCATCTCCTAATTTCGAGCCAACTAATTTCACCCAAGCCAACAAACATTAATGACGGCGTGATGTGATGAGGGCATAGTATGATTCTCTCATGAAAAAACAACACCTGGTCTCTAGTAACGTGTCCCACTAAGTCTAACATTGTTGGTTGCAAATGGATTTACAGGATCAAGAAAAGGGATGATGGAAAAATCGAAGGACATAAAGCATGATTGGTGGCTCAAGGGTTCAGTCAAGAGGCAAGCATCATCTAGTTTGACATGTTAAGTCTAGTAATCAAACCTACCACCATATGTTTAGTACTATCGATTACGCTTTCAAAAAATTGGAGAATTCGACATCTAGACATCAAAAACGCTTTCTTAAATGGTGATTTATCGGAGACCGTTTACATAAAGCAACAAAAGGGATTTAAAGATCCAATACATCCTACTCGTATCTATAAACTACACAAAGAACTTTATGGGCTAAAACAGGGGCCCATAGCCTGGTTCAAACATGGGACTCCAAACATGGGCCCATAGCCTGGTTTAAACATGAAAAGCTATAAAGTAGTAGCATGGAATCATGGGACTCCAAACATGCATATCCATGCAAAGCATTAATGACAATAAGAATTTGGAAGGTATTCCAAGAGCATCACAAAAAGGCTTGCACATTTAATGTACAACATCTTTGATGGGTCCTACCATGGAGGTGGTCTTCGGTATGGCTCGAGACACGTATCAAATTTAGTCCTTGATTGTATGTTTATACCACTTTAAATTTAGAGGGAAAATTAAAATAAAGGGAATATTAGTGTTTGATAGACTTGCTCTAGTTTTGACATTAAAGGGAAATATTTTATGGACTCAAGGAGAACTTAGTACAAACTGAATGTTCACATATATATGATTATCATATATATTTCTTGATTTGGAGGGACACCTATTAGAGGCTAGATTTTAATATGCAAGACTCATTTATTAGTAACGGATACCATATATTAGTGAATATTTAATCGGTCATGAAATGCTATATAGAGGATAACTTATTAAGGAATAAATTTCAATCTTTAATACACATATTTTGTTTTGTTGAAATCATGCTTATCAGATACTAAATTGCTTATCACATTCCAAATATATTATTTGTGATTAGCCATAAATAATATTTGGAGAGAAACATATATGTGGCTAAATTCTAGTTTTTAAAAGATATACATCACTTTTTATTTATAGAGAAATCTATCAAGAACTAGATTTGAGTATACAAGACTAACTAATTAGTCATAGATATCATAAACATAATAGAGACCAACAAATCAATCATATAGACTATTTGGAGGGGGAATCATTGTGGATTGGATTTTAATCTGTAATTGCATATATTACTTTAGATTAGAAAAACACATATCAGGACCAAATGTTTAAGAGTGATTAATTAGTCATATATATTAAACATTAGAGACTGGTGAATTGGTCACATATACTTATTATAAGTGAACATATTAGGGACTAAGTTTTTAACTCTGGTTGACATGTATCATCTTAGATTTGGATGGACACTTATCATAGACTAAATTTTACAATACAAGATTTATTAATTACACTTGGATACAATGGGCATTTTCTGCAAAACAAGCTGGTAGCGGGTAGCTTGTAGCTTGTAGCGTTTTGTTAAACGCTACATGAAGTAACCTTTGGATTTGGAACATTTTGTTTAAACTAAATGCTAGAAGTTTGTAGTGCCAAACAAGGCTTTTTCTTCAAAATAGAACGTTTTTCCAAAGGGCGTGTTCAACATGAAACGTTTGGGAGCGTTTGAGAGTTTCTAGCTTTTAGCGTTTGACAAAACGCTCCGTTTTGAACAAAATGTATTGTTTGGGACTACAAGCTTCTAGCTTATAGTTTAAACAAAATGCTCAAAATCCAAATGCTACTTCATGTAGCGTTTAACAAAACACTACAAGCTATAAGCTAACCGCTAACAACTAATGTTTCTGAACACGCCCAAACGCTAAAAGTAGAAGCTTTCAAACACTCAAAAACGCTTCGTTCCGAACACACCCAATATGTTAGACGCTAATGAATTAATCATGACTATTTTTTGAACTTTTAACTTAAATAGCCCTCCAAATTACAATAATATCACTATTTAGCCAATATAATAAATCATGATAATTAATTTTTTTTCAACCTTTGCTCGAATTCGATTCTCTGCTTATTGTTGCTTTTTACAAGTGGCCGATCATGTCTATCATTCTAATGAGGATTCGAAGGCAGTGTCGGCTCAAACAGAGCATGCCTTGAGAAAGCAAGAGGAGATAAAGGGTAAAAGGTAAAGAGCGTATGTACCTTGAGTGTGTTGGAAAACGACTAATCTTTCTTACATAAAGTAATGTTTAAGATGTATAGCATTCCAGGATCATGGCAGGACATTTCCATCGAGGGTAGTCAACCAATATGCCCCCTTACCTGCTTCGACATCTATAAGATACGAGCCTTCCCATTTAGGTGCCAATTTACCTGCACTAGCATCCTTGGTGTTTTTGAATGTTTTCCTCAATACGAAGTCTCCTATTTTGATTCTTCTGACTTTTATATTTTTCTGTACGCCTTGGTGAATCTTTTTTGATGAGCATCGATGAGAATCTTGAAAAGATCCCTGAGCTTGTCGATAGTATCAAGATCTTGGGTCAGGATCCTGTCATTTTTTTCCTGATTTTAAAGTAGGTATCTTGCTGTTAGGATCACTAGATCAGTGGG